TTTAGGGTTTTGGGCTTAATTAGGGCTTTAGGGTTTTGGGGTTTAGGGTTTCGCGTCTCAAGTCCAAGCATTCATTCGTTAAGCAACCTTATCCAATAACAGAAAAATACCCACCCTCCCACTGGGTCCCACATCATTACATCATTAAGAAAATTACACCCTAAACTCTACATCTTGAACCAGAAACCCTAAATCCTGAATCCTCAACTCTAAACCCTGGACCCTAAACCCTGAATTTGAGTGAACCCTACACTCTAAACCCTGAAACCTCCTTGCACGCTGAACCCCAAACTCTAAACCCTAAACCTTCGTATTCAGATTGAAACTTAAACCTCTAGATTCTGGCCTAAGGCCCTGGGGTACCACCTATGAATTTGCCCAAAGAAAATGACGTTGCTCAGTATGAAAATGACCTTGCCCACTCAGAAAAATGACCTTGCCCCCTAAAAATCACCTTGTCCAGCAAGAGTCTTACAGGGCAAGGACATTTTCTTGGTGGGCAAGGTCATTTTCTGAGTGGGCAAGGTCATTTTCTTACTGGCCAAGATCATGTTCTTACTCGGCAAATTCCAAGTGACCTTGCCCAGTAAGAAAATGACCTTGCCCACTAAGCCATTAAGATTTGAAATTATACACGGAAGAGAGGGTTTTAGGGTTTAGGGTTAAGGGTGTAAGGGTTTAGGAATTAGGGTTTGGGGAAGGCTTTGAAGTACATGAGCTATAGTCGAATGACTCCTAAAGGGGGTTGTATAGGGGATTATTATAGGGCTAATTAAGGGTGATATTAGGAGTTTAGACTGTAGCTCACATGAAGTCTAGTGCTTAAGGGTTCAGGGATTTAGGGGTTTTAGGGCTTAGGGCTTTAGAGCCTTAAGGTAGTTCTTGTGCTTGGGGAAGTTGATAGAGCTTACCCGAGAGTAATTTGGTTACTTTACGTAATTGAGATCAAGGAGCGCACTCATTGTCTTCCCTGATGCTCGTAAGACTTCTGCGTGAAGTTCAAGCTTGAGCAGTAAGACTCTTGAAAAAACGAGGGGTATCTAGATCAGGTATTTAACAGATTTCGGCTGCATCGTGTTCGCTTGTGTCCGTTTCTTCGTTTAGCTGATTACTTTCTAGTGTGCGAAGCGCATGGAAGGAAATGACATGAAACGAAATGAGAACAGCAGGGAAAACTACGGGGAAGAATCCATGAGCCCACAGCTTTCATTTCAAAGTATGACAAGATGTTGAAATGATCCTGCGGTATCTGTCTTTCTTCTGGCTTAGTGGAACTCATAAAAACCTACGAAAACCAGTTCGTTCGTGTTGAAGTGTGTGCATTCTTGTTTGTGCGCTCGTGTTTGCAGCTCACGAGGTCTTTCAGAACCCATCGGCATTTGACTGAGCATCCTCATTAGAGTTGCTTACCCACAATCTGTCGGGTCAGGTGCTGCATCAGGATGTGGCTAGTAACAATTAAAACCATTATAGCAATATGAAGAAAATAATCGTACTAGTAATAATAGTCGTGCTAATAATACTGATAGTAATAACAACAATAATAACAATTCTACTGACAGCAATTAAAAAAAAAATAGTTTTATGTAATACCCTGAACCTTTGCTTCTTAACATCCGGGTCCTCGTCTGGGAAGGTCCACGACGTCAGGCCATGCACCTTGGGATCAACTGGTCAGTACAGACGAAAAGAAGCATGCTGGAAATGCTATAATGTATATTGTAGTGTATATTAGGGTATATCATGGTATATCTTGGTATATTAAAATGTATATTATGGAATGCTATAGTCTATAAACCATAGTATATAGTGGTATATTGTAAAGAAGCCAGTACAGTACATCGCCGTGTGTCCGGCCTCCAGTTCCGTAGCCAGCAGCTTGGCTTGCATCTCCTTGGAGGGACCTACCCTGAGCGACTGTGCTAGGCTTACCGGGCTTACGGTTTAGCGTATGGGGGCTTCCCAAAATTAGGGGTACCTTGTTGGGGTCCCCATAATAAGGATTATAGTATATTGGGGTCTATATACATTGGGGTCCCCCTATTTTGGGAAACTACCATATAAGATTTAGGGGTTTAGGGTTCAGACAGCTGGGAAAGAAGGAATGGAAAAGAAAATGGAAACTACTAGAATGGGTTCTATAGGGACTGCTACAAGGATCCATTCCTTCATTCCTAGCTAGTTAAAGGTAAGTAGGAGGCACTGTGGACAAATTTGAACTGACACAAAGCAAAAATGAATTGCGTGCATTTCCAGCTCCAAGGCTCCTCGTCTGAAACATCCACTTCACCGATGATTGTCTCTTCTGTGTCCAGCGCCACTGCCTGCAGTTTCATGAGCAAATGAGGGATACACCATCCACGGTGGTTGACGATCACAAAAACGCCTGCACTAGTAGACGTAGCTGGGTCATCCTGGGTCCATACCTTCTACCGAGCGTAGTGCACTTTGCAAGCACTTTCTGCTTTGGCTGGCCGTCAAACACCTCACTGCTCAACATCTTCTTAAACACATGCCAGACACGAGCAGCAGCAACTGTAGCACACCAAGTTTGTATGCTTGAAGCCATAGCTTCGTCTCCATAACCTCTCTGCCATGACTGCACTGAAGCTGCCCGATCAGCAAGACATGTCGAGAGGCGCTGGAGGTCAAGGCTGGTTGTCGTCAGGAAACGTGGTGGTCATAGGAGAGAAAAGACAGGTCAAGGTGCTAAGCTCCATGACGAACTACTCAGACACCCCAGCGTACCAATACCGGGTGTGGCAAAATCACATTTTAGCATGCTACATACAGCACAGGCTATGCCTATGATAGCGATGCCTTCACAGCAGTGCAGTTGTCCACCAGCGCCAGTTTTAGAAGTGTTCCATCTGGGCGTGCAACTGTCCGTCTCAAGCCAGGACGCCTTGAAGGATCCAGATACCTTGGGGCAAACAAAAAAAACATGACAGCGCCCAGTCCTGGTGCACTTGTAAAATCTTGTAAGCCTGTTACAGTACTGTGTGAAATGCATTACGTAAGAACTGTGACTTTGGTCAAACTCTGGCCTGAAATCGTCCCCCATTTGACCCTGGCAGTCTTGATTTTGACTCCAGTCCGTCTAAAGCGTCCAAGATGCGTATGGTAGGTGCTCGCTGCACCCAAGTCTGCGAATGCGACCACGGCGTTCAACGCTTGCAGAGACAGCCACACACGCATTGTTCCAGGTCCGAGGCTGGTGCTTGTCCAAGCCCTGCTATTTGCTTTATGGCTATGTGTAGCAGGGCATAGCGACTGGCAAGTACAAGCAAGATTCTGCTCTTTCTGCAAAGCGCTGGCAAGACCCAGTCACTGCGGACTGCATACGCATCTCTCCTTAGGCAATTGCCAGCACTTTACCTCGTGAAGCGATCTACGAACAAAACCAGAACCTGAGGGGAAGCTTGAGCCATGGCCATGCCAGAGCTTGGTTAACAGCAAAAGAAGTCTGCCTTGAACTGCTTCAAACCTCTGACCATCGTCATTCGTCGTATACATACACACGAAGCAGCTCAACTGTAAGCCGGCAATGGCCAACCCTGCTTGATACGCCACTGGGCGCTTCCGAATCCTACCTGTGTCGCTATGTCAACAACTCCAGCTACGTCACAGCACGAGACGACTCCATGTATGACCTTCGACCTACCCTGACAGGATTTCTCTGTCATGACGCAGTGCCCTAAACTCAAGCCTGAGCAAACTGGGGATGTCTGTGGAGTTGTACCAGTTGTTATTCTGGCACTCAGGGTCAGCTCACTGCATCACTAAATGCAAGATCCCCGTGTGCAGTGCATTTGTAGCAGCGGACCTTGCCGAAGAGGGTCGCAGGGAGTTGACCTTCAAGGTCTCTGGCGAGACCCATGCAAAGACGAACATTACAGTCGGCCGAAGAAACCATCTTACTGGCATTGCAGTAGCAGTGGTTTACCATACTGTCAGCACACGGCCTGCGGACCAATGGCAGGCTCAGCGCCCGGAATGACCAAAGGAATGCCGGGCACCTGCACCTGGCTATATGACATAGTAGGAGTGTCTACCCTGCATCAGCAATATGTAGGAAGCTTGCATTTGTCAACGTTGGGAGCTTTGGCACAACCTGCCCGTCCTATAACTACAGGTTGCGCCCGTCTCTGCTCTTCCTGGTAGCAGGACCACATCAACGACGGCAGCCCGCGTGCAATCCAGTTCGATCCATAGATTGCCACAGCTACCACCATTGCAACTTAATATCATTATGAACGGCAGGTACCATATGTCCAGCCTAGGCCCAGCGAAAGGCAACCGCAAAACTCAAGTGAAGCAAACAACAATGCTGCAAACATCAAAAAACAGAGAGTTAAACTAGGCTACGCCTGTCCAGCTTTGGGGGTTCTTTACAATTGCCCGATGGACGGGCTACACGGATCCCCCATTCCTGTCACTGTACCAAGTGGATCTGAGCACCTGCTGGACGTTATTCTCCTTGGGATCCTCGTCATCCTCTTCCTCCACTTTGGGCTTCATTGCGCTCCTCTCCCGGCACACAATTGACTTGTGTGGATAGAAGGTTGCGCGGTTGCTGGAGAGGAGAGTAGATGCTGCAAAGAATGCATGAGACGATACAAACATTCGCAACCTCTACTTGAAACCACTTGAGAGTGCAGCTCCTGCTGGTCAATTCAACCGCAGTTCGCCATCAATAAGCTCGCATCAACTGCTCTGTTGAGCTTGTTCATGATGTCAGCTTTTGGGTAGACTCTGCTGAGTTTGCCCCAATAACTAACATTAAGATGAAGGAAAAGGTGGCTTGGGATCCAATCATATGCTAGGTGTCAGCTTGGTTCATGATGTCTTGTGTGGACCGGTGTGCCAGGTATAAAGCCGTCTGCGTAGAGCAGCACTTGTGAAAGCATCCCTTGCAAGATCTACCTCGAGCCAACTCGGCCATGTCTGCCCAGGCCTGTTTGAAATCATCTTACCCGCCTTGGGGTAATACTTCTGAGACGCTATTTAGACAGAAATCGGAGATGTGCGCCTCTTTTGCTAGCCCGTCCACTTGCGCACCCCTTGCAGTGGCATTCAGGGGCATCCCGTATTTGGTTGGACGAAAGTCCGCTGCCGCTGAGGCCTGCGACCCCCAAGCCAATCCACCAAAGATCCCATAGACCGAGTCATCAGCTGGACCCGGACACACGAATTAGCTACTACGGGTCTTTAGCACGCTCCCTGACGCGTTTGCCAAGCAACAATCTAACTGGCATGCTGAAGACTCGGTCAACGCTTTGCTCAGCTCAGCCGCACATCCATCAGGCGCTCCTTTCAGTGGCTACAAGCTTAGTCAATCCACCTCCCTGATCCTTGCACATTGTCCAAGAGCAGAGCCTCGCAGTTCCCGACGCCACTGAGCCGCGACCCCAACTGCTCCACAGCCTGCAGAAACCGTAAACTTTGAGCACAGCCATGGCAGCGCTAAAGCCCATCATCCAGACCTCCAGAGCTTCCAGCGGCGCTGGAGATGGCGGCGAAAACTCTGCCGCGGGCCCTACACAAGTGTCGATGCCTGGAAGAGAGCTGCAAACAGCAACTCGAAGGGCAATGACATGGCGCAGCTCCAAGTAACACTCGTCCGTGCAATCAGATTTTGTGCGAACTGCTTCTGCGGATTTGTAGATGACGTTGATGCAGCCAAGCTGCGCAGACTCGCATCCACCAAGCGGGAAAGGGATTGCACCTGGCAGGAAAGATTTGAGCCCTTTGCCCCTGTACACGCAGCAGCAAGTCAGCCGTCAATCCAGAACAACATGCTACAAGGCCTTCCCATGAGAAGACACGCGGGCTGCTGACGCAAGGCACTGGTCAAAAATCTTAAGTCTCCTGCCTCCTGGCGAATAAGGTCATGGTAAGACCTGCGACGATTCCAACACACATGCTGCATCATATGCTCGCAGGTACGTCAACTGAGACCACCGAAAGCTACAACAATCTTCCAAAAGGAAGATCTTGATGTTTTCAGCAAGGGTTTGGCCAGAGGTACCGCTACCCTTGCCCAGCTTGTTTCAGGCCTCTGCTCCGTGTCGAGAAACCCGCAGAAGACGCGCTGCTCGTCAACAAAGGCTTGCAACTCCGAGCGCATCTGCCAAGCCAGCAAGGTTTGAAGCCCAACCCGCATTCTGACAGCGGGGTGTTCCTTCTGCGGTACAACGATTGAGCTGCAGCCATGACGGCATTGACTTCGGTTGCCGCACCACGGAAACTACGCAACTTGGGCAGATGGTACCGCAATGTTCTCGGGTTGTAGTACACAACGGTTGGATGCGGTTGATGTTCTCGACATCTCAAGTGCGGCTGAAATTTATGGGTCGAGGCCGGGCATGCCGGGGCTCTGCTCTCACTTCACTCACGTCTGACACAAATGTGCCCCATGAGATCCCATGACCAAAATCAGAGACGAATGCCCAGTGACTACAGACAGCAGCATTGCAAATGCGCTATGGCCAAAGCCCTGAAGAACTTGTGTTGCACACACTTTGATTGCCCGGTGCTTGATCAAGTATGTGTGCAGTGCAGCGTTCTGCCTCTAAGAGGGATGCAACATGCAGTCAAGGCCAACATGCTCTTGGATCAGCTGGGATGCACATGATTTCCCGCAAGCCCACGCGGCGATGGACGATGGCATTGCATGCTCTGCACAAAAAGCCGTGAACAGGGCGCTGCTTCAGACCCCACTTCCAGAGACAAGGAAAGTATGACTTACATGTCAGGGGTTAAAAGCTCAGCGCTTCGTAGAACCTGCAATATGCACGCAGCAGCTGCAGTGCAAGCAGTGCAGTGAAGGTCTGCAAAATCTCTCACAAACAAAAAGCGCCTGGTTCCACTCGACTTGGGAGCTCCCAAGGGACGCTTGCAAATCAGCTGACACTTCCTGAGGCAGGAAGGTGGTCGGCAGACTTCTGGTAGGGAGTAAGCCAGAGACCCGAATCATAGCTTCCATAAAACCATGGGGGCAGGTTAGCGCTGATGGAGCTGGAAGTCATGCGTAGATATATCAGCTGCAAGATAAAGAGCAATAGCCTGGACAAGCAAACTGGCATGCAATCAACAAGTCTGCGCCACAATACTTTTCGGCGAAAAACACTGGGAGTGGGATGGCCTCTCCAGCCGGTTGTAGTAATGAATTGCGTGCAGGGCTTCCTTAGGAAGGTGACACTTGGAGCCATGGGGCCCCTCCAATATCTCTTACTTGCACCTTCCGCAACTACAGCAGACAATAGAAAAAACTTTAGAACTCTTCGAATCTGGAACACGTGTCTAAGAAGATTCCGCCTTGCTACTTTGTTGGCTCATTCCAGCGCTTGCTCCGCTTGCTCTTCGGGGTCGCTGTCCTTGCTTTGGCGACAGCTTGACATCTGCTGCGCAGTTCCGGGCATCTCTGGGCCCTACATAGGGAAATATTGGGGTTATAATGGAAACTACTGTAATATATCGGGGTTAGAAAGGGGTATAGTATACGGGATAATGGACAATAAATGGAAACTACGAATATAGTATAAGTCATAGTAGTTTCCATTTTCTTTTCCATTATCCTTATCCGTTTGAGTCTAAAACTTCACCTTGCCATGGTACTGCTTACAGCAGCAACAGGACACTCTTTTGCGCATCCCTCCCACCGCCCGAAACATCGCTCAGCACCCATGGAACAGCATGCTCCGACCGCTACTTTGCACAACACTCTGCGAGCATAAATTTGCAGGCTCTGTTAGAATTGGTTCGCAGACAGCACTGGATCCTAGACCTTCTGAAAAACAGCTAAGCGGCACTGTCTGAGGATAGGAGTTGCAACTCCAGCTCCTCTTCCTCCTCCTTTCAGTGCTCAAACTCTGAGCACCAGAAGGTTTTTCAACAATACCACGAATTTTGGGGGGTCATCTGAACTTCAAATTTGAGGCGGTTGTGGTTGTCCCCCAAACGGTTCGCGGGATTTCTATAAGAGAACAAAGTACTGGGAGGGTGGGAGACGCTGGTTCTCTCAACACTTGCAGAGTCGTGCCTGGACTTGCGCGTTTCTGGGTGCCAAGGCTGTTATCGCGTTATTCTCACACTGTAGAGTTACGGCTGGCATCTCTACTTGTGTTATCATGTGCATGCATCGCTAATTCTAGGAGCATTACTGCTGCGTCCGGCCTGGACTTCCTTGCCCTTCTCCTTTTCTTTCTCCTTCTCTTTCTTGGCCTGTGCCAGCAAAGGAATTGCACTGCAAGTAGCAGACAGGAAATCAACAGTAGAAGGCAAACAGCAACACAGACAGTACGTATATCATGCATTTTGAAGCCGTGAAATGACAACAAGACATGAGCAGCCATCGCACAATTGCGTTGATAACAGCCTTGCTCGAAGTGGTCAATGCTAGACACTTTTCAAGTAGAGCAATCCTGACCTGTGGGGCTTCTGCACCGATTATGTGGTAACCATGCCGGGGATCATACTGATGATATTGCGGCTTCCAAGCCCGAACGGGCTTCCTCACGCAAGGCCACCTAAGCCTTTGAAACCAAGCCACTTAGTGGGATGCTGGCTGCTTTAAAACATTGTATGCGTACCTTTTCAATCCACTTTCACCAGAACCCAATAATTCTGGGGAGCAATGAAGGGTGACTCTTGGCATTGTGGCCTGTGCCAGCAAGGCCTCCTGAGCTGCTTGGGCCTCCGCCCGCTGCGTGGCCTGCGCCTCAGCCGCCGACAGGTAGTGATGATCACACCAAGTCATGAGAATTCTGTTAGTACCATGGCGGTTTCCCAAAATGAGGGGACCGAATATAGACCCCAATATACTATGGTCTTTACTGTACGGACCCTCCCCAACAAGGTTCCCCTTAATTTTCGGAAACCCCAATATTGCTAGTGTTGCTGCCACCCCCACCGCTGCTGCCCCCACCGCCACCGCCACCACCACCACCACTACTGCTGCTGCTCCTACTGCTACCCCTCCGCCCCCCCACGACTCAGCAGTGGCATTATTTCGCAAAACTCTCATGACTCCCATGGCATTCCAAGTAGCATTCTCGCATGTTCTCACTATACCAACAGCAGTAGTCGTAGTAGGAGTAGTTGTTCTTGCTGTGTAGAAGAAAAACAATGACAACAACTACAGCAGTAGTAGGCTTTGGGAAGCTGCCAGGGAGTGTAATGCGTGATTGGTCCTTTTCCAAGGCTCTATCAACATACAAGAAAACTGACACAAATCCATGCATTCCAAGCTCGGGGCCAGAGCTCTCCAGCGGATCACCTCTGCCTGTCAAAGGAGCACGGGGACATTCTTGATGCACCACTTTAACGAATGTGTTGCTCCATATTGGGCTCATGCACACACACACACACACACACCCAGAATGTTGATAAACGAAGAATCCAGATACGAGAAAGATTGAATGTATCAACGGTGGGACGGTTGCTTGATGAAGCCTCGAAAACTCTGGCCACGCGACGGCATTGCTCCTGCAAGTGATTTTGAAGGTTCCTGTCACAGCACAACACAGCTGCCAGGATTCGCTTGGAGTTTCTGCAGCTGATTGGACAACCGGCTTCCAGACAAAGTTCAAAGCTGAGCTACGTTGACATGTCCTTCCTGCAGGCCCGCATCTGGTTTGCAACTAATTCCAATTTAGCCGTAAGCTAAGAAGACCTCGTCTGCCGGCGTTCCATCGAAAACCCAGACCTTGCTGTCCACCTGAGGTGACAAACCCTGCAGAGCTCACCTGGAACGCTTTGCGTGCCAGCTGCCAGCTACTGGACACATTCTGGAATCTCAGGTCTGGACAGCCCGACGATACTGAAGCACAAGCTTGCGTCCATCATCAAGAAGCACCTGGCGGCACAGCAAGATGTCAGCATGCTGAGATGAAAGTCCACCAAGCGGAGCCAGCACTTTCTCGCGGATCCGTGTGGCACGGCCAAAAGCGTGGAAAAAGGGCAAATCTTCCAGACCCCTCGTCCAAGGCTCGCCTCTGTGGCCCCAACCTCGCCTCTGTTGCGCCAAAAGTGGCTCCAATGCCCGCCGCTGATGCACCAAGCTGCAAAACGGTTGGCGGAGCGCGGTTTTGGCGCGATGCGTCGTTTTTTCGTGAAAAAGCCTTGTTTGGTTTCGCTTTTGCGTTTTTGGTTTTTCATGTACACGTTGTCATGGCTTTTTGTTTTCGCGCGGTTTGCGAAACCACGTGGGCGGAGCCCGTTTTGGGTGCGGAAGGTCAGCAGAAGGTCAGCAGGGGTTTAGGATGGTTTGCAGACCTGGGTCATTCTGTGAAAGGATCAGCTATAGGTATAGCAGACATCTCCAAGCAATGCCGAATCCAAGCCAGGAGGGTCAGACTGCAGCCTAATAGCCTGTACAAGCAGGCAAACACTTCCGACACTGTTCCTTTCTGTTTCATCACCTTCATACTTTGGAAGTTGCAAAGAGGTCGAACTCGCAGCAAGCGCCTCCGTGGCCGCTTCATGTGCACGGACTCCGCTCTCACACATCAGCCTCAGAAGACCAGCAAGTGGGTCAGGCGATCGGGTTATAAACTAGTCTCCTCTGCAGGGAAGACTGTTTGGGTGGGAACCGGTTGCAATGTCTTGGTTGCCCTGCTTTGGGCAGACCCAGGAGTTGCGAGAACGCTGCCTGTCTGTGCTGTGAACCTTCTGCTAAGCTCCTTAGGCTGGCGCTCCAGGAAAGGCAGTAGTTCAACTCGCTCTTGTCCCACAACGGCCTGCATGTGATCAGATACTTTCCAGCCCATGGCTGAGGTCACCAAGCAAATGGCAGAAATTGGCCTTCACCGTATCCACATCCACCAAGTTCTGCTTCTCCTGCACGGGTTCGTGGTGCCCATGAGCTACTTAAAACTTGGTGCGATCTATACGCAGCTTTGTATCGCAAAGATTTTGCAAAACAGCCAAGGCGTTGAATGAGGAGTGGCGCAGGGTTGGGTTCTGCAATTTCTCACCCACCAAGTGCTGTCTGTTGATGCAGCTCAGGCGCGTTGTTCCCTTCATCCTCGTCTTCCTTGCTGCCGGCGATGTCCTTTCACACAATACCCAGATCAGACACAGCACGCTCAAAACAGAAGTCGTGGTAAGCAAGGTAGTAACAACAGTGGCCGTCAGCATCATGATGATGTCACTGCTGGAAACCTTTTCCATTCTTGCCAACACAAATATATATATATATATATGGTAGCCCCCCCCCCAAGATCTACGCCTAACCTGTTTTATCTTCATGAATGCTTCATGTGCCATCTTCGTGAACATATTGTATCAGCCGAAAACACTGTAAATAGCGATGAATCCTATACTTTTGAATGAAATTAGTCATAT